AAAATCGGAACTGGAATAATTCAAATTTAAATGATACCCAACTCTACAATTACTGAAAGTTAAGCTTACTGTCTCCAGCTTAAATTATTGTCAAAAAATGACGTAACAACCTAATTTGTTCTATGAAAAGCTAAAGACAAAAACATTATATAAATAATGATAAAATTGATCTGCTACTGACTATTTACATTTAATTAAATTACATCTAAACTATGATCAGCTGCATTTGAAGAACCAGGCGTCCTGACAAAAACAAATCCTATAAATAAAACTAGCACACCTTGAACAAACGCACTAGGTCGACCCCATTAAGGTAAATTTTTAAAAACTAAGCTCTCACATATACCGTCAGTGCTCAGAGTATATGTTGTGGATGGCTATCAGCTACTACCACACTAAATGTTAGTTGAATATCTGTGCAGCTGACTCAGTTATAGTTATTTTAGTGTTTTCTACAAGTACCTGACAAATAAATGTAACCTGCAGAACATTTAAAATGGTGAAATAAAAAAGTGACGCAGTCAGCTATGCAGAGAAGCGCCAATATAAACTCATGATGCTCTTCTTCTAAGTGGTGGTTGATATGTTTCTGTGCTTCTAAAATTTCTCTGTTGTACTGTGATACACCAACAGACAAGCCAGCAGTTAATCTCCTCTTTCTTCACGTTAACTTCTTCCTCATGACATTCATCACCGTTGTATGAGAGTGAGAGCGAGACAGACGAAGACAAAGGGAGGGAAACGGACCCCTCCACTGTTGCCAACCAGAAAGCTTTACAATCAGATAACAACGGGGTTAAAACTTTGCCTGGGTGGGCCACAGAGCAGCTCCCAAAGTGAAGCTTTCTTGGTCTCTGTAACACAAACAGCCTCAGACAGAACTGTTGTTTCACCTTAGCAAGATATTAAACAAATCAAAGGTCAGTTAAAAAAAATGTGTAATGAATATAATTTTTTCGAAAAAGCTGATTAAATTCATTTATTGACTGAAAACTCTCAAAATTTAGACGTATAATTCAGATATTTAATTTTAGTAAAGAAAATCTGCTAAGGAAAACTGAGTAAACGCATCTCTTTGAAAATAGATTCATAAAAGTGGCTAAGGAAAAAAAGATAATTTTGATTTTTCTTATGTTTTCTGTAGATTTTTAGCCACAGCAGTTAAAACCCCATGTGGTCTTCTTTTGGCCTTGAGGTGTCAGGAGTGTGGTCAAAGTATGATCATTTAACACCCAATTAGAATTAGGTGTGTTGGTTAAAGTCGTGATTTAATCATTAAGGTGGTCCCAGCTTGTAACATTCTGAGCCTGATGGAGATGCAGCAGCTGACATGTCCCGACTTATTTGGGCCCTCCTTCCAGGAACAGACCAGAACACACAAGCTTACCAACCTTTCTGCAAAGATACCCCCCTTCACGTTGCCACCCCACAAACACAAACAGCCATCGTCCCACACAGCTTCTCTAAACAGCCACCCACAGAGACATCTACAGGTGAGGCAGCATAAATCAATCACAAATATATTTCTCTGGCTCCACAAACATGACAAAACACAAATAAACAGCTCTGCTCACTTAGATTTATCAACACTACAAATCTACATTTAATATGTAAGGTAATAATATAACAAATGTGAAAAATGGTAATTGATTTTGAGTGAAAACAGAGTGGTATAAATGCACCAGTCAGAGCCGGAAAGCGTTACAGAGGGTGACGCAAACAGCCGAGGACATCACTGGACATCTACCACAGCCGATGCCTGTGTAAACCACAGAGCATCATTAAGGACCACACCCACCCAGCACAAGGACTCTTCCGTCTACTACCCTCATGCAGACAATACAGGAGTCTGTCATTGTGTACAAAAAGACTAAAGGACAGCTACTATCCACAAGTTGTAAAAAAAAATAAAAAAATAAAATAAAATAAAACCTGCAGTATGACTTTTTATAATTGTTTATTGTTGTTGCTGTTGTCCATTGTTGTCATCTTTCTTTGTTGAAATCAGGTCTCTCTTGTAAATGAGTCCTCGAGGCTCAATGGTATTTACCTGTCTAAATAAAGGTTGAATGAAGCTGTCAGATTACTAAACTCTCGATAAATAACACTGAACAAACTGGCAATAACATTGTACCAAGCCACATCTGTGACACCTAATATGACTACAGTAGTCCCTCGTTTATCACGGGGGATCAGTACCCTGAGGCCCTTCAATACCCTGAAGATGAGTGAAAAACTGCGAAGTTTGAATAGTAGTACAAGTATATGTACATGGGGCAAGTCGTGGCGCAGCGGTTAGAGAAGATGGGCCTGTGATCAGTAAGTGGCAGGTTCAACTCCCGGTACCGTCAACATCAAAAATGTGGGTGGAAAAGGTGAAACACCCACACCTGCCTCCACCCTCATTCGCCCCACTCTGGACCCTTGAGCAAGGCCCTTAACCCCCACCATCTGCTCCCTAAACAGGTCTCTCTTGAAAATGAGTTCTCGTGACTCCATGAGACTACCTGGATAAATAACGGGTAAATTAAAAAAATACATATAAATGTGTTTTAAACCCCTCCCACACTTGCAATATTCTAAATGATGTTTCTAAACTCTAGACACTAAAAGAGCACAGAATATCATGAAATCAGCTCTCTGCCTCCTGCTGCTCTTGGCCACGCCCACTTCTCCGCTGCAGAGTGGAGATCAGCTGCAGGAAGAAGCCACTTCTGCAGCTGTGGGCTGCACACAGTTGCTAAATAATTAAAAATAAATTTATTTTAAATAAAACTTCCATGCCGATCGTGCGGTTCATCCATCAGTCACCCAATTGTGTCTCATGTCCAATCTTGCTTTGAAAAACCGCAATAGAGCGAGTCCACGAAAAACGAACCATGAAGTAACGAGGGACTACTGTAATATTAGCTGTGACAGCTAATGTGTTTATTGCTGCTGCACTATGAGGCTGTATCATGTATGATACAGTGTAATACAATATAGATGCACTGTATCTACTTTACCATCATAATTCATCTCAGTGTCACTCACTGCCTGTGCAATAACCTGTCACACAGCCTGTGTAGTATATGTTAGTTAAGTACAATACATATCATGTGCATTTTAGCATATATTACTACTATTAGTTTGCACCGTCTGCAGCACCAAATACACTTCATGAAGGACAGAAGTTGCACAATAGCGATTTATTTGTTTCAAAATAAAAATTATATAAAGGTTGGTATGAGCAACAAATTGAACAACCCCCCAAAAAATTAGAAGACAGTTTATGATTTGATTTGGTCAAAAAGTATTCCTCAAACAAAAATTATTAACATTTTTGGTCCGAGTTCCGCAAAATTGTGGAACCTTTAGATGAAGCTGTGAGAGATAAATCGGTCTATGATTCCAGTCATTTAGTCTGACATGTTCATGCCAAGTACTTTCATTTCTTGTTATATCATGCCCCTTTTTACGCTGAACTAATCACGTCCAAGCAGGTCTGCAAATGCAGGCAAAACTGCAAATACAAGACAACATGCTACTTTCCCATTGCCAGGAGCAGAGTGGTTCATCTCTGTCTGAACTTGGATTTATTTTTGTTTTTAGGCGTATGTTTTTCTTAGTTCATATCTTAGATCTTATTACTGTTTTTCTTATACATTTTATTGTTGGATGTAGCGGGGACCCTGTGTACATAATTTCGCTCCACCACATGTACCACATGTGGTGCGAATGACAATAAAGAATCTCTGACTCTGTGATAATTAATACTTTTACAGCTAATTTTGACATCAGATTCATGCAAACTTATCCAAAGTTTTTGTAAATGAAAAGAGGCAAGTGTTTCATGAAATTAGCAATTTTCAAAACGTTTTCTGAGTTTAATTTTGTTCTATATTTGCTCAAATCTTCATCTTTAAGCCAAGTGTTTTTATTTTTATTATCCTCATCTATCCCTTTAATTCTCACCACCAGTGCAGGTCGAAGCTCTGGTGGCAACAAGATGAACAATGTAATCCAGACATCTTTCTTCCCTACCACATCCTGCAGCCACTGGTGGGGGACTCAAAGCATTCCCAAACCAGATGGGAAATGCAATCCCTTTCTATGTCTCCTGGGTCTACTTTAGGGCCTCCCTCCATCTGGACATACCCCAAATACCTCCACAAGGAGACCACAAGGAGGCCACCAGGAGGTAGACTAATTAGATCCTCAAACAATCTTAATCGGTTACTTTCCACAAGTAGTTTCTTTTGCTAAAACATAAACAGTGTGAGAAAATAAATGTTTTGGTTTTCATATTTTATTTTTTTTAGTTCTCACTACCACAATAATCTGATACAACACCCACATCACTGCCAGCGTCATAACAATCCCTTTTTCAATCCATCTTTTCGGTTCTGTAAGACATTCCTTAAACCTAAAAAATAAAAAGAGTCCAACTGCTATACAATAACATTTTAGAGTTGTTAACATTAAGAGTGGAAGTAAGCTAGACTGCATTCAGACTGTACAGTCAAAATGGTTCAAAATGTTCCCATTGCTGTCTTGTTGACATTAAAGCAAACATATTTTACCACCTAATAACTTTCTTTCCCATCATTATAAACTCATCTCTTCTGCTTTCAGTTTGCACAAGACAATAATAAATAAAAAATCACCACAAGCTTTGTTATAATTTGAGAACACTGCAATTTTTTAAAAAACCACAAAATATTTCCTTACTATTAGTTTTTTTAGAACTTCCCTCAAATAAAGAAAATCTTTTCCTCTTTCTCACAAACTGCCGAGCATAAACCAAAATGCAAAGCAGATGTATTATCTAAACAAATGCTTTTGTCACTTCTAGTATCATCTCTGTCATTAGATTGTTATATTGTGACTTTATAAACATTTGAGCAGTAACGTTTTTCCCATGTGAGGCTTCACAAGCACCGAACTCCACCACCATTGAAGGTCATACACTGAACACCACCACACTATGGAAATGCAAACACTTGGGCAAAATGGAGTACCTGACAGCGGCTGAATATGTCGTTGGGTGTAGGCTGAACGTTGAAGTGTCTGAGGACCCGAACAGCCTGGTCTCTGGCTTTTTCTGAACAGTCCAAGGACAGGCAGTGACCCTCACCCACCTGGGAGCGCAACTAAGTGAAGAGAAAAGAAAAAAAAACCACCTGAAATGCACTAACAAGCAGGTACAAAAAAACACAAAATACACAGTTACATTGATTTTTACTTGAATTTATGTGCACTTACAGTTTGATATGGCTGTCCACATGTGAGGATGACACGTCCTTCAGATTGTGCCAACTGAAATAAAGGAAAAAAGACTACACATTAAGTTACTGCAAAGTTATTGGGTTTCTATTAGGGATGCAAGATATTGGATTTTTGGCCGATACCCAATATGCCAATAGATTAAAAATTATTAGGCCGATAACCAATACCAATACAGATATTTTTTCCCCTAGACCTACTTACAGAGACTATATAGCTTTCTTTGCTGTGGAATTAAAATACTACATTATTCAACATGGCCTTTGGATGGATGTACTGCTGGTGAGGATTTGTTTCTCCGCAGATGACTGCTCACTCGCTTTCCTTTCTGGCCACCATGAACTCGTAATGGTCAGAATGGTGGTTCTTGAGATGCTTAATTAGGTTCGAAGTGTTGTAGGACTTAGTTTTCGCTCCTCCTCGCATCACTGACACTGAGCAGTCATTGCAAATAGCAGTTCTGCTATCAGTTTCTGACACTAAAAAACTTCCACACCACCGACATTTTCACTCCTTCCTCTCCAGCCGTGATCAGATCAGGTAGACGCACGTGATGTCATAACGCTGTGCTGGCGCTGCAGGCATCCTTGTCACTGGGTTGTCACACAAAAACAGCAACTTACATACAGTATGTATGTATATATATATATATATATATATAAAATAGTGCCTTTTATCTTGGTGAGTTATTTTGATGGAATGACCGATGTCCGATATTTAACTTTATCGTTAATATCGGCCGATACCATGCCGATAATATCGTGCATCCCTAGTTTCTATTATACTGTAGTAACAGTACCACACAAAGGAGAGCTGGTAAGACAAAAGGTGTGCAAAAATAAACTAACATTACGTCAGGAAATATTTAGAATTTGAGTTTCATCGTCAGAGACGAACCAAAGTCAATTAAAATTCAGTGTACATGTGGCATCACAGAACTTTAAACAAATATGGAATACTTTAACATTATAAAATCAAGAAGTCGTAAATTTTCAGAGCCAACATTAGTTGTGGAAATGAAACACACTAATATGACAAAAATAAACTTTTTTGGGATCGGATGCAGCCAATAGTAGTTCATTTAATAAACGTCTCCTTTTGTTAAAGAATTGTTCCCACCATTATGTTTGCATGAATTCTGCAGCATTTTTCAGAGAAAGAATGTTAAATTTAAAAAAATTTCACTTTATTTTTTTAAGATAATCATGGATATAATCAATATTGGTTGATAAATACCATCAAACTTTTCTTTTTGTTAGCTACTGCATGTTTGTCTTGTTTGTGTGTAAGCGTGCATATTAACTCTTGGCAGATTTCTAACAAACCTTTGCTGCAACTCTGTGATCATCCGTGTTCTCCAACATGACCACGTCAACCCCCAAACAGCGCAGATACCTTCCGAGTCCTTGCAGCATGTTGTCACAAACCACCCGCAACTGCTGGGGGGGTAGAGGCAGGGAAGCTTCGGAGGGCATCTCGCCACACAGGAGGCCTTTCTCTGTGTCAGAACGAGGGGGACTGACCTTTTGAGCCCCCTGACATTCCTAAACGGACAGAGGGAATAATGTGATACTTAACTGATCCCCATTGGGGGGATTGTCTTTTCACTTGCACCACAGTTTAGAGAGGTCACAGCACAGGGTGAGTCATACAACTGCACCCCTGCAGCTGATAGGAACTAGTGAAGTGTCTTTGTCAAACAAGCATTGTCCCTCCTTGTAGGCTAGATGCTCAAACCTCTGTGCCTTCAGCTGGAGGTTCTCTGTATTTATTCACAAGTCACGTAAAAGGTCAAAAGTTATCACAGATGTGAGAACCGTCACATTAGCACAGTTGCTCTTCTTTAGGCACTTTCACAAAACAGTTCTATACAAAATAGCTGCAAAGACCAGTCAGTCTTCACGCCGCTGTTAACAAATCAGTAATCAGTCCACTCACGTCCCGCATAGACGTGAGCTTTCAGAAACAAGTTTCACGGAACATGAAGCAGAACTCAGCCGTATTGATGTGGAGCACAACACATGGACGTCTCCCTCATACCATTTTATAAACGTGACAAATTACCTTGGTTAAGAGATCTTTGTGATTAATCTTACATCCTTGAGCTGCAAAACCATCTTATCTTTTCACGTCAACAGTTATGACTGTCACTACCACCTTTGGTAGTTCAATGGTGAATCAAAGGTGGGTTGGCTTTAACCCTCCTTACTCTCACCGGCCATAGAAAATGCATCCAAGTCCCTGTTTGAAGTGTTTTGCAAAAGTGCCTTTCAAAATCAACTGTTTTTGATTCAAGATTACGATTCGTAAACCTGAAGACATCATAAACGCTCCTAACAACTATGTGATGAAATGCCCTAGTGTCATCTACATAAAATGGATGTTTAAAAGTTTCTAACAATCATACATACATTTTCCTTTGTTTGCATAGGTACATATTTTAAATTCTTGGCCACAAAATACCACAAATTTATCAATTTGGCAATATCAGCATCACGTCCACATGATTCAGTGCCCACAGCAAGCACACAAAAAGTACTGCGAGTATCATAATATCAGAACATGTGGGTTTACCACAACGAATATCAAAATATTCAACAACAATACATCAATTGCATATTCTACTATTATCATGCAGATCCACTGTGCAATTAATGTAGTTTAAAAGATGCTAACCAGGTGAAGTAATAAATTGTGGTAGGAGATGTTAAACTAGCTCGATGCAGGAAGCATGTGGCTCATTTAAAGATGATGGTGATAAAATAAAACAGAGCAATAATGTGAAATAAAAGTTAAAAGAAAAGAGTTAGAAAAATATATTAAAACATTTTAGGTTTAAGAATAAAAACATTTTTAAATAGGTTTATAATCTATGAAATGTCTTAGCATTTATCTCCACACCACCGATACTGTCCACCAAGACCTAACAAGAATAAGCTAACAATTTTGACAGCCACCATAGTAGTGGACAAATGGCAAGTGACCCCTAACCTCTTTGCCAAGTGTCTGCTTAGTCTTCTTGCCCTGTTTTTCCTTCTGCTTCTTGTCCTTAATGGTTTTTGACTGTTTTGAAGAGATGCTGTGAAGGTCAGCTGGCAGCCCGAAGCAAGCAGGGTTACTGGAGAGAACCGAGTACACATCCAGCAAACAGTAGGCATCTGCCGCTAAAAAGTTAAGAAGCACGAAAAAGAGCGAGGAAGAGGGGGTGTTACATTGGTATGCATTTTGTCAGGGGATAACAAAATAATCTCTGATACTCTATGGAGAGGAGAACAGCGGCCATCTGGCTCCCTGTCATTGTCTGTCTGTGCATGCATAATGCCTTACCTGCATATCTAATTTGGCTAATGCGTAGTGGACGCTTCTCCCAGTTGGACATCTGCTCTGTCTTGTCCAGGGGCCTTCCCAGGACCTGTTGTACCAGCAGACTGAGGCCCTTTTCTGCACAATCCTCCCCTACTAGTACTTCTTTAGGGCCATTTTGAGCCACGTTAACCTTACCACGCTGAATCTGTAGACACCACAGCAGAAAACAAATTTATAATGTCCTGAACATTTTTGCATGATGCTCTCAAGACAAAATGCTGGAGTTAATTAGGAGCCCATTTGTATGAAGATATGTGATTGATGAGATACTGTTACCGTTTGGTGTACGTTAAGAAAATCAAGCAGCCCCTTCATCTTCAGTGGGTCCACTGATAACTGAGGCCAGGTGGCAGAAAGACACTTTAGATCCCCAGCCATACCATAGCCTGCAAAACAGAGTCCTAAGTGGTTAGGTTATTAATGGACTAAAACTTGATAAAATATTCACTTTGACTGCTGCTTACCTAATTTAAGAATATTTTGGTCAAAAAACAAGACCCTGATGAACTCAATTAGGTCCAGGTGTTGACAGAATTCTGCTACAGACAGGTCTAATAGGAAAACTTGGTCATGAACTGCAAGCTGTATGAGAGCTACTTTCTGAGCAGAGATACCGCCAAATGTTGGCTGCCACTCCATGTCAACTCCTACAACACTACTTCCCTAGAAAAGACAATGAAAACATTATTCTTTAGAAATGCTGTAAAGAACCTCCACTTTCAGTACAATTGTTTCATTCTCTGTACCTTTAGGATAATGGTTCGACATTGGTGGAGAGCTTCTAGCGTGTCCACGAAGAGAACCTTTTCTTTGGTGAGAGGCACCTGGTAGAACTTCTGGCAATGAGACTGAGACGGCACCCACTCTTCATTTTGTACAGAATCAGTCGAACCTTTCTGTCTGAGTAGACGGGAGAAAATTTGAATTTCTTGGAAACTTGGAACTAGGCCTGTCACAATAACAAATTTTGCTGGGCGATTAATTGTTGATAATATTGTTTGAAATTTAACAATAATTAATTGTCAAATTTTAGAAGAAATGTTGATTTGTTTGGTGTGTAGTGCCTTTTTTGACCATCTGATGGCAGTATAAGACTGTTTGAATCAAAGTATGGATAGTTGAGCATCGTGTCTCTTTAAGAAAAATGGGAGGGAGGGCCCTTGACGTGACATGGTGGACACTCTGTGATTTGAGCTTTTTAGCATAGCATTTTTCACACAACGCTTTTTAATTTAAAAAAAATCTGTAAACAAGTTCTCAGCTTCTTTTTGCAGAGAAAGACAACTTTTTACACAAAGGCACAGGTTTCAATCGTGAATTTTGGAGCTTCAACAAGACGTATGTTTTTTCGGTCGGCTTGTTAGCTTAGCTCGTAGCTGAACTTAGCTTAGCTGCTTTTACCGATTAATAAATGCGATTTTGGACGGTTAAAATGGATTTCAAAGAGAAAAGTGAAAGGGAGGGGTCAGTAAAGAGCACTGGAGTTGAGTTTTTTTGTCATCCAGTGTCTTCAGTAGAAAGAGAGAGACACAAAGAAGCGATAAAGCCAATAAATGAAAGTAAGGTTGATCATTTTCATTCATCATGTGATTAATTGATGTATTGTTTATTGTGACAGGCCTATGTCTGAGATGCTTAAAAGTAATCTGACCAAACACCTTTGAAATGTGATAATCAAAGAAACAGACTTTCTATCACAACTTAAAAGACATAAAGGATCCTAAATAGCTTCGAAAAGACAAATGTTTTTTTTCTCCGAGGTCTGCCTGTTAGCTTAGCTTGTAGCTTAGCTTCACAGCTTAGCTGCTTTTAACGATCCAAAAACACGATTTTGGACGGTCAAAATGGATTTTAAAGAGGAAAAAGAAAGGAAGGGGTCAGTGAAGAGCACCGGAGTTGAGCCGTGTCTTCAGCAGAAAGAGAGAGATATGAAGAAACGATAAAGCCGGTAAATGAAAATGAGGTCAATAATTTTCATTCATCATGCGATTAATTGATTTATCACGACAGGCCTACTTGGAACTTCTTCTTTGTAGTTGTATAAATATGAAATTTTTTTTTAAATATGAAAAGTTACAACAAAAGTGGAATATTAAAAATATACACTTATCAGCCATGATAATGTGATTTCATTACAATAGTAACTGACTTCCTTGCAAGACAGCATATTGCTCATATCCTTGCAAGCCATCGTTTTAAATAAGGAGCTTGCATCATCAATTGTTGTTCAAAGTATAATGATTGAAATGACTCTCAGCTACTACCACTCCAAATTTTAGCTCAATATCTGTAAAAGTGACTAAGTTAAAGGCACTTTTTGTGTTTTCTGACCCAATATGAAATTAAAAAAAGGTAAATCTACTTTTAACTAAACAGAACCATGACACAGGGGAGTTTGTAATATGTATTAAAACATATAACTAAATTAATACATAAAGTAATACCTCAAAACAACATTTCATATACATTTTACAAATGACACACTTATTAAAGCAAATCTATGAAGATACATCCTGAATGAATTGACATAAAATTACAGAGGTTTAAAAACATTGTGTGTTTGTCAACAAAACTGGAGGGTATACTGAATTTACTTAAATTACTATATGTAATCAAAATATAGAAACAGTAAAACAAGAATTTGCTTCAACTGTGCTGAACAGCTGTTTCTTGGAAAAAAAAGAAAAAGAAACAAGAAAATCTGACTCTAGATTTTACTTAATTTTTCATTTGCACACTCTCAGTTGTGTAATCAGACATATTTATGCATATTTTGGCTAACTTACTGTAGATCAGGTGGTAGGCTTTGTTGCTTTTCCCATACTCCTATAGGAAGTTGATTTCTGGGAATGTTATATTTGAGCGACCACTGAGCGGCTTTCTGAAGACCACAGTACTTTGTCAACATCTCTACCAAATGGACCTGCAACTGGGAGTCATTTCCCACTACATACTGCACATGCATGACACAAAGATGGAAAATTTAACATCTTGTGTAACTTACTGATGTTACAACATTAAATACAGTGAAAAACATTCTTGCATTAGGGCAAAACCTGCCTGCATGTGATCAGTCCAGATTTCCTCCTTCATGCCTTTCTACAAAAAAAAAAAAAAAAAGTTTGATATCGTCATTTTGCATCACAACCTTGCTCTTTAAAAAAATATTTTTACGGCATGCAAACCATCAGTGTGATTGTGCTGCACACACTTACTTCCACAAATGTCTTATACATGAGGAAACGTAAGGCGTCCAGTCTTCTTTTATGCAGAGCATTGGGACACAGTCCTGTGTTAAAAAAAACACATTAGATTTATCTCTTTCTGTTGGTAAAATAAATAAGATGCTTAAAATGTTTGTGAGGTACCCACTTGGGTCAATTTCAAACTTCTCTATGAGTCGTACAACATGTTTTGTGAGCATTTTGGGCTGGATCTGGGCTGTGTAGTTTCTGGACAGAGAGATTCGAGGAAACTGTCTGTAGGAGCAGAAAAAACACACAAACACGTATTTAGGGATGCATGATATTGGATTTTTGGCCGATATCCAATATGTTAAAACTTAGTTGGCCGATAACCAATACCAATACTTTTTCCCTAGACCTACTTACAGAGACTACATCACTTTTTCTGCTGTGGAATTAAAATACTACATTATTCTGCATGGTCTTTGTCAATTTGGCCTGCTGCCAAATGCAGATGCCAAAAAGGGGGCTGAAAATGAATGAAGATGTAACACTATATAAATATATAATACATATATTTTTAAAAAAACAGCACGTTTTATATCGGTGAGTTATTTTGATGGAATGGCCAAATATTTAACTTTATCGCTAATATCGTCTGATACCGATATGCCGATAATATTGTACGTCCCTACTTGTATTTATAAAGAAACAACTTGAGGAAGATGCCTGCAAACACAAAGCCACACATTCACACAGGTAGCATACTTCCTTATGTCTTCAACGATGAAGTCGGGGTGGCACCAAGAATCTAATAGTGTGACGAGTTGTTGTTCTAGCTGTTTGTGGTCTCTGACAAAAGACTCTGCTAATGACAACTTATCCTGCAAGATCAGTGGTACAACCATCTGCAGAAAAAAACACATTCAGAAATCTGATCAAAGATTTCCACATCTCACTTGACCAAAGCAATCATTACAGCATAGCTACATATTAACCCAAATGTTTTGTCTCACCTCTTCCATGTTTAGTTCATTTTGCAATTCCAACTTTATGCTGAGGACTGTGGCCTGTGGAAAAATACATTTAAAAATAATCTTGTTAATACTAATTAGAGCTTTTAAATCCTATTAGGATATGCGTGCAGTTAAAAATAAATTCAGCTTGTATCTCAACAAGCACTCACTTCTTTATAACAGTTGAGAGCCTGCAGTCGGACAATATGCAAACGTAATATGGACGTGTCCACGGACTTGAGCTGGTAGATGGTAACGAGACTGTCCACAAAGATGGGCTGAGTGTCTGTTAGTAAACCAAGAGCCCGTCGCTGGAGCGCCAATGCTTGATGTTCAGAGAGTGAACTCAGGTTTACCTGGAGTGAGACACAAATGACAAGAAAAGCAAACAAACATACAGCTGAAAGGCTATTACGACTGTGTATGTCTGAAAAATATATTAATTGTTTAAAAAATGAAATATAAAATTCAAAGAACTGAGGAATAGTGCAGTTAAAAATTAGCAGATGACACACGGCACTCTGGAGTTTTAAAAATAATCTAAAACAACAGGACCGAAACAGCTGACTCATCTACCTGAGGATGTTCCTTTATCCATGTCTGGAATTCCATGAGAATTTGATAGCCCAGGGTGTGGCTCCGACCGATCTGTTTGCCTGGACAGCACTCCAAGATTGTTAGCAAGGCTTCGAGAGGCTCAGACAGCTTTGAAAATCCCTGAACGGCAGTCAGACGGAGCTGTGTGTTGACAGTGGAGGAGAGAATGATAATACTATAATGTTTAAGTGAGAACGCTGCAGCTTGTTTGTGGATTCTTTATAATTATGCAAGTCATGACTACTTTGTTGTATATTATTACCTACTGAAATTACAAATAAAAAATAAAAAAGGAGGTTAAAATGCAGGCAACCGGCAATTAAGTCACTAAAAAAATCATGAACAAGTGGAGGCAATTTCTTTCCTATCTCTTTCTCATCTAAGCATTCAAGGTTTGAAGCTGATTCCAAAGGGGGCGAGTAGATCTGGCAGCCATTTCTAAAAATCAAAATCATTTGATCAAATGAGCTGTTAGTGCAAGTACAGACAGAGCGGTATCACACTGAATAACTTTGCAAATTAAAAAAAAAAGACAAGATGTCTGGAGACACCTTAAGAAGATGACTATCATAAGAGTTTACGTATAGTAAAAGAAAGAACAATTCACAATATCCAGACAAGCAAAGGACTCTGAGGTAGACATAAAGGCTACTAAAAGAGAAGACTTCAAAAGAGGGTGATGCATTGGCCTCACAAGGTGAAAAAGTTTTACGAGCTTCGAGAAAGAACAAAAATACCACATTTCACTTTGCAAAAACAAATCTGAACAGATCAACGTTCTTATCAAATGACAGCAGAATGACAGGAAGAAGAATGTATGCAATAATCTTACCATACATGTCATCACTCAATGGCATCAGCAAATAGGCTACAGAGATTTATTTTGGCTGAACCATGTTTTAGCTCTGCAGAAGAATGCATACAGAACCTATACCTTTAGTGTAAACTCGAACAAAGTCAGGAGCACAGCTAGTAGAGGCTTTGCAATGACAGTAAGATGCACAAGTGACTAAACACTGTACGATTCACGTGCTTCAAAAGTACTTCACAAATACTCCACACTTGCTATTTGTGTAGCCAGCATGTCAAAAGTATATCTGATTTTCTATCCATGTGTGACAAGCGGTCTCCGTTCTGTTGCCATCACTGCTGTTTGCTCTCATGATAAGGTCGCAGAGGCAACAGGCACAGGAGAGACACCCAGACATCCCTTTCCCAAGCAACACTAAGGTGCTCCCAGGTCAGAGAGGATATAGAATATAGCTGCTATCATCATCATCATCATCATCATCAGAATCAAATTCCTTTTCCCTCCGTTGTTTCAGGCTGAATTTCTTGTGATTGCTCTTCAGATTCTCTTTGAAGATCCAGCAGACATTATTTTTGCTCCTTTCTTTCTGGATGCAACTTTATAATATTAAATATTGTAGTTTTTACCAAAAATATATATACATTGTTCATTAGGTGAAAGACTGAAGGTCTTTTAGGTGAGAGAACTGAAGAGAGGAGATGGGAATATAAGGAGATGGGACATAAAGCAAAGAGGGAGGTAGCTAAGGCAATGTGAAAGGTGTACATTGAGTTGTATGGGAGGCTGGACACTAAAGAGGGCAAGAAGAACTTGTACCGATTGGCGAGACAGAGAGATCAGGCTGGAAAGGATGTGCAGCAGGTTAGGCTTGTAAAAGATAGGAATTGCAATGTTCTGACAAGTGAAGAGAGTGTGATGGGAAGATGGAAAGAGTACTTTGAGGAGCTAATGAATGAAGATAATGAAAGAGAAAGAAGAGTAGAGGTCATAGAAACTGTGGACCAGGAAGTGGGAAAGATCAGTGAGGGTGAAGTCCGGAAAGCTCTGAAAAGATTGAAGAAGGGGAAGGCAGCAGGACCTGATGACAAACAGGTGGAGGTTTGAAAATGTCTTGGAGAGATGGCAGTGAGGTTTCTCATTAGGAGGACAAGGATGGATAAGATTAGGAATGAGATCATCAGAGGTACAGCATAGGGGTGGGCGATATGACTCAAATATAATATTGTGATATTTCAGAGCATTTTGGCGATAATGATGAATTTTGTGATATAACCAAAAAAATAAAATAAAACTGAAATCAGTTATTTGTTTGACAAAATTAACTTAGCATGTTGCTTTGCAGAATTCCATAAAAGCTAAAACAAAACAACAAGGCTTAATTGTACTGAAATTACTTTACTTAGTAAATTATTCAGTCTCAAAGTATAAAAATAAAAAAATTAAAATGATCCTTCTGGTATTTAGATTGAAAAAGTCTGCACAAAATACAGAACAGAAAAAAAATCCACCACAAAAACTAAAGTGCAGGTGCAGTTCCCAAATAAACTAAATAAAATTAAAGCTCAAGATCTGTTGAGCATAAATGTAACCTACAAGAAAAATATGTTGCCTTTAAATGAGGTATAACTTCCAAAACTTGTGACAAATGCTGAAAACAAATTAAATGCTGCCCGAAAGGATTGCTGATCAGAACAGCAATCAGCCAATTTCCCGATCCTCAGGAAAGTAGCTGGTCTCGAGGTTTGAGCTGCACAGTCAGACTCAGGTAAGGCTCCGCGGTCCGACTTGATCATAAATCGCCATGTCAACAGAACTGAGCTCACAGTCTACCGAACCGTGCGCACCCCCGCCCCACTCGCCTGCTATGATGTAGCTCTAAGTTAGCAGCGCGCTAGCTAAAAAGCAATGTCTTCCCTCACGCTGACCAGCTCAAAAACTGTCGGGACAAACAGCGCCCAGCTCAGACGAGTCTGTTCATGCCTTCACCTTTACAGTTTGAATATCGCTGCGTAACCCACGTGAACGTAATCCGCTGACCGCTGCATGGTGGGGATGATGTATTTAAGCCATGAAATTAGCATATCATGATACAATTTATTTTCCCAGGCAAGTTTTTTTTTTAATCGGTATTATCGTGAACGATATGATATGGCCCAGGTTGAACAACTGGGAGATAGAGATAGAGAGGCCAGACTGAGATGGTGTGGACAGGTCCAGAGGAGGGACGGTGGGTATATTGGTAGAAGGATGTTAGAAATGTAGCTGCCAAGAAAAAGACAAAGAGGAGATATATGGAGGCAGTTAGAGAAGACATGGAGGTAGTTGGAGGGAGTGAGATGGAGGAGGATGACTGGCTGTGGCGACCCCTGAAGAGGGAAAAGCCAAAAGAAGAAGATTAGGTGAAAGACAAATGAGTTATGTTGTAAACATGCTGTGTACCTCTTATACCCACTCTCACACTGCGTCACATGCAAGTGAACAGTGATTATACCTAACTGCAAACTACTCACACCACAAGTGCAGTCAGTACTCTCGGTACACAAGACTAGTCACAAACTCCAAACGCACTAATCATAATTCAGAAGTTTTAAAAGACTGAAATATTCCAGAGTGAACTCTATTTAACCTGATTATATCAAAACATTTGGTAAAAGACACAAAAGAGTAGCTGATAAACAGACGATGATTTAGTTCTCAGTGCCCATCAGACACAAAGGTTTGTGAAGTTTTTGGTTTTTTTTTTGGTTTTTTTTTTTGGGGGGGGGGGGGATTTGAATAAAAATGCTAACTCTTGTATTAGAAACTTCATACAAGAGAAAATAATATCTGTGTGAGAATGCCTTTCACAGTGTCTTAATTGGCAAAACAGATGTCATCCACTCAATATCCTCCTCTCAAGTTCATTCAGAGCAACACAAATTCCTTCCTTCTGACAGACAGTCTGGTTTCCTCATTAACACACACACACACACACACACACACACTGGTGAGCTTCATTTAAAGATGCTGGGATCCCTCTCTGCTTCTTTCTGTGCTCTGTGTAGATAGGCACCACTGACTCTAACCAGACGCACTGATTATTGCATGGGTGGAAACGACACTGTGAAAGTGACTCTTACCATCTGCAGATCCTTCTGGTTCCATAGTTGAAAGAGCTGGTCTCTCAGCAAGGCAGGGTCAAGACCTAAGGGGATCACACACACAGGTGGGGTTTCCGTTTACATTTCCACTACTTAAGACCAAAAAAAAGTGATGGTGGATTGTTTTTTTTTATACTAATTTAAATAAAGTTCTAAGGTTGCACTGTAATACTACTCTCTTACAGGTAAATATCTCAGTTACAATAAGCTGCTCTCACAAAAAAATATAGAACAGCTACATTTGTGTACATTGCAAATTGTTGCAGATTGTCTAACATTTTGCAAGGATGAGTGCTTCACTTGTTCACTTTCTTAATACAAACAGTCTACATGTGGTGACAGACATCACAACATTTCTCAACATCTCACTTGATGATGTACACATACGGCAGTGTTGATTATGCTCCCTGTGTATGTTGTTGTAGTGGCTTGAAATTAAATTTGCTTAAAAAAAAATGTACAACCAAAAAAATCTAATTAAAACAATAGTACTTTTAAGACATCTTGCTTCCCATCTGGTGAGCTTTCTCAAATGGAGCTCTGAATGAGAAGCTACAAAAAAACAACAGCTATCACTAGAATATAAAAACAACAATGCTCTAAAGAATTATCACCAAAATCATTCAGTTTTCATCAAGTTAAATAGCAACTGGTGATTTTAGTACACATTTGAGTCGTTTTATGCAAAAAAATATACATTTTTTGCAACTAAAGCTGACAGATAAAATAAATAATGAGGTACATTTCCTAAAGTGTGCTGGAGTTGAAATATAAAGTAGTGTTTTAAAAAAGACACAAAATGTATGTTATGCATTTACAAAACTCAAATAAATGTATCTACAGCTTAAACTATCTTAAACTAACTGAGGAATGTGGCACCATTCCAAGTTGTTTTTGGGGTGTTGATAAAATATTTGATTTTGTTTGATAAGTAATAATAATATAATAAGATACTATAATCCTCAAGGATGATGTGCATTTAAAAAAGGCATGCTTTACAATTCAAATGAAGGTTTTGAAAAGGGATGGACGGTATGGTCAAAACTTTTATCATGATATATTTCTGGACAATATGGTCAAAACTTTTATCATAATATATTTC